ATGATAGAGAAAACAAAATCCATTGTGAGTAAGTAAAAAACAAAAAAAAGAGGTATATATTAGAAGAAGAATTACCAAAAGAAATCAAGATGGAGATATCCAAAACAATATCGAAAATATCAAGAATACCATAAAAATGGTGACCAAATAAATTATTACCGTATAAGAAGACCTCATATCTCTCAAACAGATATAGAATCGATTTGAACAACGATTCTCACTTGAAAGGTATTGCTTCTGCCCAACCCCTATTCTATATTAACTCTTATTCATAATTCACATTAGCGTCAAGTTTTTCATTTTTCTGATGAGACTTTCCAGTCGAAAAAATTAGCGTAAGTACTCCATCTCATGCTTGTTACATCCATGATTAAGGAACAAGAGTTAAACTTCTTGATAATTTGTGCAACTCATCAGAGCACGAAAATTGAAGAGCATAATCTGTCTAACAAGAGTTGTGAGTATTTTACAAAAAGGTTGCATAGATGATGTTTGGGGTGAGGTCTAATATGCTTGTGAATTTTCTTTTCATCGATAGAAAACACCGAACAGAAGTAAATACAAAATAATGACAGTACCTTCCATCTACGAGTACTTATATCAACTTCTGTACGAAACACAAAACTTGAAATAGAAATTTGGGCTTTCATGATATTTTTTTCAAGACAAAACACAAAAACCTTGAGGCGCTCTTAGAGCGGTGCCTGTGCGAAAGTAGCGATTTACATTGGATTTAAATCGCTGGAGATTAACTCCATAAGAAAGAACGTTCTCAGGAAGTTTATTTCACATAAACGCAGTTTTTCAAATGAAAGATTTCTTAAACTGTGAAGTTCGAGGTGTACTGAGTTGAACCACAAAACGATGAGCAGCCACAGTCCGTCGCGTATTTCTGATATGTACCGCTCTTGGTGGAACCAAATATGCCAAATCCCCAACCTTTCTTCGATGTTCCAGACTATCAAGTCTGGTAAGGGATGTTTGCGTCTCCAATCAGGCGGATGCTTCTTTTTTGGGAATAGAATGAACGCGAGCAATCTTCCAACAAAAATGAAAAACTCCTTCCCTGTAAGAAAGATTGAAAAGTCTGCAAAATACTGGTGCTAATTCATATGCGCACTTTTTAAGTATGATGACGGGCACTTCATCAAAACCAGATGCCTTGTTGATATTGAGATGTTTCAAAATTCATCTGACTAGACGTTGTCAAAAAGTAATTACCAGCGTCGTGGAATCTAGTGTGGGAATAGTGGGTGATGTCTTTGTCAAAAAATCGACTGTGGAGTGGTACGCAAATTGTTCAGCTAGTAGATTTGCTTTTTCTATGGCTGTTGTTGCAAATGAACCATCCGCTTGTGTTAATACAAGGACTTCTTCAGGAAACTCAGACTTCAGATATTATCTCTGTAATAGTTTACTTCCATGTAAGTGTAATTAATCAAATCCGATTTTCATTGTAACTGTAAGCCCATGTTGAATTTTTAGGCGGTCATTTGATACATCTTGTAAATATATGACTTTCATGTTACCGTACTTACCGAAAAATAGTGTTAGGCAAAAAAAACACCCGGAAATCTTGGGTAATTTGCCAAAAATTTTTGTACGGCTTTTATGAATTTAGATATTGATTACGACATGAATCATTCCTTACCAAATACCGTTACAATGGAACAGGAGGTAATATCAATACTCTATCATAGAATTAGGGTCCAAAATTATCTATTTATTTTCTTTTCCACATAGAGGTCCCTTAATCTCCTTTCAAAAATTGTAAAATTTTCCTATTTTCTCACCGCAGCTGAGATCATGAGACTCAAACTCGACTTCGAGACTATAAAAACCAGAGTATCGCCATAAGAGATATCAAATAACTCCCTAAAAAGTTTTTTTTTGGAAAATGTAAAATCTCACGTAATACATTTTTCAAAATGATATGCTTTCATTCATACATAAAGTAACTTCAACGCAGGAAATAGATTTTTCGAAATAAATAAGGACAGTCAATTGGGAGTACAGCTCTGGAAATAAAGTATAGAAGGGCCGATATTCCGAGATATTGGAAATGAATAACACACACGAAATATTCGATGCTCACCAGATGGTATATGAATTTATCTTCCAAATATAAAAATAATATTGTCTCTTTCGATTCCACAAAATCTGGAATTGTGATACATTCTCGAATGACTTGGCAAAAATAATAAAGTGTGCCAATTTTAGATCGAGTATCAAAATATTTACAACTTGCACGGTAACTGTTGAAACAGTAAAAAGATAATGATTTAGTTTGCGTGACCTTCATGTTGAATTATTTTTAAAAGAGATTTCTACAACCAGTCTGAAGTTTCAAGTATACAGAATGCCTCACAAAATATAGAGTTAATAACGGATCTTGTCTACTTACGGGGTAATGTAATTTAATAGTGTTATTTCTAGATCAGTACGAATAATTCAGCTTGATTATAGGTTCTCAGATATATCTTTATATTTTGAGAGTTTCCCAGCTTAATTTTCAATTATAAATAAATGACCCCATTACTATCGATGAAGCACAGTTGAAACTTCATCCAATTCATTATTAAACTCAATACTAGACCATAACTGAAACTTTCAAACAATTATTTCAGTTTTTTCAACACTTTTGGTTTTAGTAGAGACCCTATGAAGATACAGCAAGTACATCTGCTACAACACATAAATTGGGTTAGAAAAAAATTATAGCTTTGATGAAGAAGACGAATCTCTTCACAACAAAGTAAATTGGTGTAGCGATACCAGATTTCTTCACCACTGAAAAATTGGACTTAGAGTTCTGATTATCATGTTTCCGTTAAAGATAACGATTAATCTCACCTTCATATAAGAACAGCAAACAGCCTGGATCTATAATCGGGTTGTGACTTTGGATTTTTTATTTCTAGGTATCTGTTTGGGTTATATACCTCATGGACAATTTATATTGTTATTTTTTCACATTTTGGACATTGGAATCTCACATGTGCTTAATACAATATGTTCTGGAGAGGCTTTTTAGCACTGACTCTACAAGGAAACTTGAAATAATCATAGCTATTCAAAATCTTATCAACTGTATGGTTTTGTTAAATGAGAAAAAAAACTCGGAAATTTTTTGTTGTTTGCCTTTTAAAAAAATATTCGCTTCATTTGGAGCCACAAATTTCCTGATGTGATATAACTTCAATAGTCGTAGATACCTCTCAGGCAAATCAGTTTATTATTTTAAATAAATTTGTCACTTTCAATTTCCATAATGAATTCAATATAAAATGGAACACTGGCACCACTTTGTAACTACTTGATGCAAGCAATTTTATGGATGTCTCTAGAACCTTACAATAGATACATCTGGTGTTGAAATCTGAATACTCATCAGAAAAATTTAGTAGAGTTTCTGTGTCACCCTATTTCTGTTAATGTAGCAGAAATGAAGTGTGCTACATGACTTTTATGTCAGCTTTATTATTGACGCCTCGGTCAGTGTCAGAAATAATATACTTCCATTAGTCGTTCAGATTTATGCCCTCGAAAGAATGGTTTATTTAAAGCAATTTCTTCAATCAGAACGTCAATACTGTTGAATGAATGAGTTTTGCTTTTTATAAATAAGAAACCAAAGGTGAGCTTGTCAGTGAGTAAAAAGGTCATTTATTGTTTCTGTAGTGTTTGAGTAATTAAAGTATTGTTTTCAAATGATAAACATAAATTTTACATTTTTATTGATAACGTAAATTGTAGAAATTGCTAGTTACATGAAAAATAAAAAAATTGTCAAATACTCAATGACAACCGTAATAAGTGTTTAATGGCAATGAGTGCGGATGGCATTGAGTACGAATGAATGAAAATGAATAACAAAAATATGATAGAACTGTGTTACGTAGTGAACTGGTCATTTTACAACAACCAGAAGCAGTAAAAACGTCTAAATCTCTTCCTAATCTATGCATTTCATTAGTTCGGACTTCCATTGTCTAATATGATATATAATGATTTGACATCCCTGAAAGAATAAATAAAATTTAAACGACTAGCTGAGATGTGGTGGATAAATTTGAGTCCACGCAAGTTCTACCGAAAATATCGCCGCTGTCTATGAGAGTGTGCAGGATAATCTGAGGCAGTCGATTTCGCGTGGCTAACAACTCGACCTTTCGCAGACCATGGTGATGTTAGCCTGCACCCGTACAAAATCAAACTGACCCAGGGACTGAAGGTAAACGAGGAAATTAGAGTCAGTTGCCCCTAAATGGGCAATTGACTCTAATTTCCATCGAAAAATCATCATCAGCGATGAGGCCATTTTTGTTTTGGATGAAGGGGACGTGAACAAACAAAATTGTCGAATTCTGGACGATACCAATCCACATGAGACCCAAGAGCGTCCAACGCATCCCGAAAAAGTCGCTGTTGGATGTGGATTGTGGGCTGGCAGCCGTCATCAGTCCATAAAACGGAGTTGGTCAGGCTATCACTTTCAACGGTGAGCACTATACTTCTTTTGCCCTGAATTAGATGATCTGGACTCCAACGACATGTGGATTCAACAGGACAGCGCTACGTACCACACAGATCATGCAACATTGGACATTCTGCACTAGCGATTTGGTGATGTGAACTGGTCAACGAGATCGTGCGATTTGTCCCCGTTAGACTTTTTCTTGTGGGGTTTTTTAAGTCGCAGGTGCATGCGAATGAGTCACAAATCACTGCGGTCCTAGAAACCAACATAACCCACGCTAGCGGTCAAATTCAGCCTGATTTATGCACCAGTATCATGGAAAATTGGACGTTTCGGATGCGCTCCAACCAGATAAGTTGTGGTAGACATTTGAACGATATTATTATCCACATATATATAATGGCATTAATAGGTATTTCATTTCGTTTTATCCAAATTTAAATATAGGAAGTGCCCAATGAAAGACCCTATGCATAACACAACAAAGTCAAAAGTCAGGTGATTAGTCTTATCCACTTACCATTTCCATTAGAAGGTTTTATGTCTCCACTATTAGAGTGATGACTGGATATGCTCCCGGTATTGGAATTTGGCGTAGTCGAAATACTGGAATGTGGTGATCCGGGTTTGACGTCTTTATTGCTACTCGAAGAATTTTTCGTAGTGCCGTTGGTTTCCGCTTTGATATTCGAATTGGGGTTGGGACTATCGGAGTTGATGTTGGTAGCTTTCTGTTGAGCTAGACGTTCCTGTTTTCGGAATTTGGCTCTTCTGTTCTGGAACCAAACCTAGAAGGAATGAAAATTTTTAAAATTGAATCACAGAAGATAATACATTTTATTTTAAGTTGCAGTATGCTCTCATTGAGGTAACGATTTAGAAAAAAATAACAATGTATGATTTCACTGGGAGAGCAAGTTGAGTAGCTTGAAAAAGGCGATGACAACTTGTCTAACGAAGACGTCATATCTGAAAGTAACGGAAAATTGGAACCATGAATGATATGAAGACAAACGAGACTTCCAAAGACGATCCGTTGCGATGCCAACTTTCGACATCGAATGCCAAACGGGACAATGAATCCAGTTGATTTCTTCTCTATTGAATATTCAAGTGACACTTCAATGTGAGGAAGCAATTATATAGTAAAACACGTGTTACGGTTCTGTTAATTATTTAGTTGATTTTAATCAAGTTTCGGGCAATTCCATCAGATATGTCTAATTAGCTGAAAAACACACCAGATAATAGCGAAAGAGATTTTGATACAAATTTCAATAATATGTTACACACGAATCTTCGAAATGGGCGTCTTTTTTACAAATTTGTTATTTTTCAAACCAAATTCAAAATACACACTTCGAAATATGTTCTAATAGATTATGTAAATTAATACTTTTGATATACATATCATACATATCAAACAGGCTTTCACAAATCAAACCTTCCACTTCGTCCAATTGTCAACGTCGTTATCTCACCCAATTGTACTCTTGCTAAGTACCTAACGAAACTTCTGCAGGCATACGTAGGAATAAGAGAAAACATACAACCGAATGACATCCTGGTCAGTTTCAATGTGGTTCCTCTTCCCACCATGGTACTGGTCAGCGAACCATTGCAACTAATGAAAAAAAAATTCTCAGGGGAAATCAGAACTCTTTTCGGCCATGCTCTCACTTATTTCCCATAGAATAACTGCTTCTATGAACAAATGAATGAAATCGCTATGTTGAGTCCGCTCAGTCCTGTAGTTGCAAGTTTCCACATGGAAGGTTACAGGAATAAAGCGCTCGGCACCGCTCCATTTAATTCTACATATTGGTTCCAGTGTGATGGTGACAAATTCGTTATTAGGACCTACGTTAAACAAGAATTGAAACAGTTTCTATACCACATCAACTTCGTTCTTTCTCGCATCCAGTATAGAAAAAAAAAGAAGATGAGATACCATAATGGTTAACAAAAAAAGTACCAGAAGACTAGATCACCCAGTGTATCGTAAGCCTACTCATACTGATAAATATCTCAACATGAACGGAAATCATTATCCAGGGTAAAAATGTATTATGATAGAACTATTGTCGATCATGCCAACAGGATATGTGAGCCAGACTTACTTGAAAAAAACACTTCGTTACCTAAACCAAGCTCTACAGGGCCTTGGCTTTTCAGCGCAAAGAATCGAAAGTGCTCTGCATGCCAAAAGAAGAGATACTACAAGTTTGACAACTATTCAACCGACAGTGTTAGCCATAGTCTACTTGCCGTACATGAAAAAGTCGCAGACCGCTTTGTAAAACTGTTTGAACGTCACAGCATTATGACAAATTACAATACAAGTAATCAACTAAGCAACACTATAAGATAAATCAAGGACAGAAGAGAGCCTCTAATATCCGTCAGGATTCCTTGCAGGCTCAATTTACATTGGAACTACCGAACGCAGTATCAACACCAAAATAGAAGAACACACGTGTAGCAGCCACCTTATGCCACCTTATGAAAAATAAGTAGTCGCAGAATATCTCCTGACAAAAACAGACCACGTAATAAAATACGAGAAAACAGCTGCCCGACCCAATTCAACAACAATTACCAAGCATGACTGCAAAGGAAGGTCATTGATATTTATGAGCATATCAATAATTTCAAAATTTGAGAGAAGAAGAAGTTATACGTATCAACAAAAAGTGGTATGCAGCACCCACAAAAGCTAGAAATAGACTACATGCCACCAGCCTGTCCACAACGTGGATCAATCATAACAATCTGGTAACAGTGCAGACCAATCAGAACAACACAGTGAAAGTTCGGCCCAATCAGAAGTGAGTATTTGCATGAACACTACTCCCGCCACTACTCTACCATCACCCCCACCAACTCTAAATTTATAAATACGAGTGAACACGAAGCTCATCAGTCAGCCGTCTTTGAGACTTCGAGATACTTTCGTTCTTGTAACGAAAGTAGTGGAACTTTTAGTACTTTTGTACTAAAAGTTCCATTCGGCCATGGTACTGAAAGATCCACCAGATCAGATGTTTATCTTCAATTTCATACATATCTGAAAAAAAACTGAAGAGTCTACAACTTCATTGAATATAACTCATCGAAAACAAAGTTATTTCCATACAACCTGTAGCTAATTCTTCAATTCTTTCTCGTCAATTATTCGATTTTACACATGAATTATTTCTCTTTATCTCAACTATCAACAATCCAATTTATAGCCAAGCAAAAAATCAACTCTGCAACAGTTGGATCACTTCATTCCAAACTTTGCATTCGAATCACCCGTTGGTGATCGAAAACAGGAACAAAGACAATCTGACAAATTAATCAACATGTGCCATGAAACAACGAAATTATTTTACATGATGTGGCAGTATCGTAATGTACATAACGATCACCCGTGCTGTGCAATAATATTTAAAGAACTCATTAACAGCATCACGGTTGGCTATGAAATGATCCCGGACATTATATTTCAGCTTGTCCGATTTTCAGCGACAGGGTGGAACTTAGTAGGAAATCGGGGAAAATTATATTGAACATTTTTTCATTGGCGTTGATCGAAAAGAAAAGATTTTGAATTACTGTTATCATCATTGTATTGAAGTCAGGCGGCATACGCCATCAAATTGAGAATAGAAAAAATTGTAACAGTACATATCTAAGATTGAGGGTCGGTTTCTACATATCCAATGATTGTCCAACCATTCCAGCTTCTCGCGCTAGCTAAACGTCAGGAAGAAATTCTAACAATCCATGACCTTCAAACACGAAAAATAGTGACACCGAAAACCTCGGCCGCGAAAACCTCAACCGTTTCTTCTACTACTGTCCTATTATTGAACACGTATAAATAAGTTTATATCGAAACATACAGTCTTGCGACAGTATGCATCTAATGAAAGTTAAGATAGTGTGATTGTTCTTTTTAACGGCTCGTTTGTTACTTCCGGTGGTACTCCCATTTTTACATTAAAATAGCTAAAATGGACGCTATTATTAATACCTTTGTACTCAATGCTAGCAAAAAGAAGAGAGATATGGTGCTAGCGATGATATCTTATCTATTAGATATATATGACGTTTCACCCCAAGAACTTATGACTACGCACATATTAATGCGGAAAAAAGACAAGAACTCGAGCAACAAAAATCTTGCGATTACGATAATATAAACTCTGATGCAGACGACGAAATGTATGATATCACAGACCAGAATTCTGAAGAAAGCCTAGAAAGAGGCGATTGCCAACAAAAAACGCCAGGCGAAGACGGAGATTCCTAGAGAATCTCAGAAACCAAAGGTCAATATACTTGAAAGCACAAAACCTCAGGTACCGAGCAAGGTACCGAGAGTAATCAAGACCGAGATTTTTAGGAATTCCGCGAAGTCTAAGGTGAAAGACCCGGTAAATACCAGGAAACCTACCCAGGTAGAACCCCAGACAAAAATCGTAAGCCAAACCACCGAAGAGATGGAAATCCCGGAGGCAATGGACAATGCTGATGACAAAGAGACACCTATAATATCACAGGCTCTCGAGCAAAAACGATTAATACTCCACTTATCACTATCAGATAGAAGGGTGAATGGACCAAATTTAACGAAATTGGCCCACGCGAGAAGGTGAACTTCTCAAAGGCGGTAAACACAAATGACGGTATGAAAGTCCAGCCATCAAGCCCGGACGATTATAAAAAAAATGTCGACATATTGGACATTAGACAAAGAAAAGGTTCCGCGTCACACGTATACGATGCAAGAAGCAAAGCCCATGAGAGTGGTGTTTCGAAGAGTACCTGAATTCCTCGAAACTGAAGAAATAGAAGATGACCTGAGAGCCAAGGGCTTTGATATCATATCAGTTGCCCGGCTTATAAAATGAAACAAGCCTTTCCTGTTCATAATGGTTCTCGTTACGAGACAACAGAATCACATTTACGAGGTCAGGGAAATACTGAAAGTAAGAGTGAGAACAGAACCGCAGAAACCACGAACGACAGTGGGGCAATACTGCCGCTGCCAAAAGTTCGGACATTCACAAATGAATTGTAAAGCAGTTCCTACGTGCTTGAGATGTGCCGGTCGCCACCTGACGACCGAATGCAAAAAGCCGAAACAATCTCCAGTGACATGTTTCAACTGTACGGGAGACCATCTCGCAAACTGTCAAGGATGTCCCGACCATCCAAAGAACAAAAAGGCTAACCTCAAGCCCAGAAGAGGCCAATAGGAACCAAGAGGACAAGGAGCGGCGTCTCGCACTCGAAGGCCGTAATTCCCACATAAGGTAACGGTCCTACCTCGGTCGACGGTCTATTTACGGCTTTCGACCAGCTACAGACTTTGTTAACGAACTTCCCCTTCTTGCAACCCATGCTAACGGTCAGTACTTTCACGGCTACGACAATCTCGAGGCTCCACGAAAAATGCCAATTCGCCAGAAAATTACCCCGTCTGAGGGGTACCACAGACGGCAAGGGAAATCTCGTCCGCGCTACAACTTAACATTGATTTTCTTTTTTAGATTCAGGCCAAAAAACACATAAGTTGAAAGAGACAGGGATTTAACCTCTAACTTGTTTTAAAGTAAGATAACCGAAGTGTTAGCGAAACACGCAGAGTTTTTCTTCGTTTCCTGCTCGTAGATTGTCCTCTGGGTTCTCTTTGACCTTATATAAGAATCAAAATATTGGATGAAAAACGCACTGCAACAAATGACTTTCTCCCGTTCATCCTGTATCGATGCGTCACGTTGCCCCTTCCTGTAAT